TATTTTGCTTTGGTTAGTTATTTTGTGTTTCATAAGTACTCAAGATTAGGCAGAGTGCAGATGACAACCAGGGAACATTCTGGAAAGTACAATTGGAAATAGCAAATAGTCATTCTAACATTAAGTGTGTTGAGGTAGAGAATAACTTAAACAGATTTTTCTGTTTTAAGGAATACATAAAAATGGAGCTATTTTCAAAACTAATCTGGAAATTTCTCAAACATTGTATATCTATCCCAACTTATAACTGCTGGAATAGATATAGCTGGAATAGATATAGCTTACCTTGAGATAGGTTTTATAAAAACCCAAGCCTAGTAATATTCTTTATCTTCCTAGCCACTCCACCCACATTCAGTGGAGGCAGTAATGACATAAAAATCATTCTTGTTTTTTTTTTTTTTAAAGTAGTAGTGATACCAGTATTATTAGGTGAGCCAGAAATAACCATACATAATTCTTTGTAATCAAGGTCACATTGTGCTTTAATTTGGCCTGATCAAGACTGACTACCACATGCCTTCACCTTTTTTCTTAATAAAATGTGCTGGTAATCATATCAAATTTAATTGTTCTTTTATGTCAAGTACATGAAAATAAAACACAAGAGCATTTGAGCTGTTTGCTTATGGCACTTTTAGATAGGTAAGGGCACGATCACTAAAATCTGTAGTAAAGGGGAGGCTGTTTCTGGAATTAAAGGGTTTTCAAACAGTAAATGAAATTATGTACTTAAACTAAATGTTCTCTCTTACAGTGTGAAAGCCTATAGGAAAAATGTTTTGGCAAAATGTGTACGTATCTAGTCATATTTATTCTTTTATAACTTTTATGTGTATAAAACAAAACAAAGATGGTATAAATTAAATATATTGGTATAAATTAAAAGATGGTATAAATATATGGTTTCTATTGTTGGGTTTTTTATTTTTATTTTTTTTGCATTGGCTTTTTACTCTGTTGCCCAGGCTAGAGTGCAGTGGCACGCTCATGGCCACTCCAGCAGTGACCTGCTGGACTCTGGCGATCCGTCTGCCTCAGCCTTCCAGGTAGCTGGAACTACAGGCGTGTGCTACCAGGCCTGGCTAATTTTTTATTTGTTGTAGAGACGAGGTCTTGCCAAGTTGCTTGGACTGTTCTTGAACCCGTGGGTTCAGGCAATCCACTTGCCTTGGCCTCCCAAAGTGCTGGGATTACAGGCTGAGCCACCAAGTCTGGTTTCTATTGTTGTTTTTTTATACACCCTTTACTTCATCTTTAAGTTTTCTTTTTAAATGGGTAAATTTTGACTTGATTTGTTCATTGTGACCACACTTTAAAATATTTTTTCATCTTATTTATACAAATCTTCTTACATGTAATACTTTATAAGGAAGGAATTTCTAACGGTTATTTCTGTGATCTGGGTAACATGTTTTGTTGATCTAATATATAATGAAGATTTTTAAAGATAATGACATATCATATAGTGGGAAGAGTATGGAAATTGATGTCTGCTTCTTCTACATTGCTTTGCCAGAGTTCCCTGTCTCAACTATTAAAATTATTTTTAAGTCAGTTGTCAAAACTGAATGATAAAATTTATTTTCTACATGCTTAGTATAGTTTCTGGCACATTCATTCCTTAGTAATTAGAGTTTCTGGATTAGCAATAAACTATATGATCCAGAATTCCAAGCCTGGATTCAGTAGTAAGAATGGTAATTCTTCCCTGATATACACATTGTAGTACTGGGTTTCCTTGGGAATCTTGACCTCCACATCCACAAAAATAATATTAACGCTTTTATCATTCTTTGAAAAGACAGTAAAATTAGAATCTGCTAGGAATAGTAAGGAGGTAATTTTACAGATGTCTGCCTTATGGACTTAATTTGTAAGATTGTTAGATTGTATTCATGTCTCTGTGTAATTGTATGATTATTTTTCTTTAGAGTGATTTAGACTTCCAATTTTTAAAAATATCTTTCAGTATGGTGGTGATATTACCCGAAAAATGAAACTTTTGAAGAGACAAGCAGAAGGAAAAAAAAAACTGAGGAAAATTGGCAACATTGAAGTTCCTAAAGATGCTTTTATAAAAGTTCTTAAAACACAATCTGATAATTGATGGAAAAACATAAAGCATTTTCATAAATTAAAAACTGAGTATCTTTCTCTCATAGCAATTTATAATATGTTGAAAACAAAATGAAAATTACAAAATTTGCTTTTACTTAAAGGCTTAAATAACCTACTGGATTTTCTTTGAAGGGGTATATAATAAGTGGTAGTAAAAGCTTGCATTCTGAAGCCATGTTGCCTAGTCTCAAATATCTGTTCTATCCACTCACTAGTACAGTGACCTTGACAAGATTATCTTGTCTTTTTTCTCTTTTGTAAAAATCAAGATTATACTATATTACTGCTACCTCCTCAGGTTGTTGCGAAGATTAAATGAGGTAATACATTGAAACACACAGAAGAGTGTATGACACATAGTAAGCACTCAGTTGTAAGTCTTTAGTGTTATCAATAGGTTCTTGGAAAATGGGTTTAAATGACATATAACAGGTCCTTGAATAACGTCATTTCCTTTAAAGTAGTTTCATTATAATTTAAGAAAAAAATGCTGTTTTCCTTTAGGTTGTTACTTTTAAAGTCAATTCCCAAACCTATTGATGACAAGTGAGGACTTGCTGTATTTTAGTTTTGTGAGTATTTTTTCCTTACACTAAAAAATCCTACACTCAAGATTCCATCTAGTTTAAGTTAAAGGATCAAATGTGTTAGCTGGATCAATCTGTCTAATATATATGAAACATTTATTAAGCCGTAATCTCAAATAACATACTACCTAGACATCTGCTCTAGTTTTTCATAACATGTTTGTCAGATCTTCTCAGGTATTAGTTTGAAACTAGGTGGTTTACATATACATGTTAAGTTAAGGGCAGGAGCTGTCTTGTGACATTCAAAATGCATTTGTGTACAATGATGCTGAGTATTAGCAGCAGCTTAATAACTGTGGTTTACATTTCATTATTGAAGACTTTAAAGTATTTAAGTACTTAATTTAAGATTTCACAGCAGGTAAATGGCTATATTACCAGGAAGCTCTTAACCCCTGTGTTTATTCAGTGTAGGTTGTACCACAGCAAGATAACATAATTTAGCCAGTGATTTTTGTCTTTCACCTTGAATGAACTGAATGAGGAATGTCTATTAGGGATAAATACTAACAGTGAATTTTACACTAAGGTTATTATGAGATAATTTTAATTATAGATTAAGATAGTGGGTGGGTATTTACTTAAATTATATGTAGAGGTTAAATATTTAGCCTGTGATTTGGTCCTAGTTACATAAATTAATCAGCCCACACAGATGAAATCTGAAACATCATGACAACAGTATTTTGAAAAATGACAGTATATTTAAAATTAGAGGCCGGGCTCGGTGACTCAGCCTGTAATCCTGCGCCTTGGGAGGCCGAGGTGAGTGAAATGCCTGAGCCTGTGGGTTTGAGACCTGCCTGGGCAACTTGGCAAGACCTCATCTCTACAATAAATGAAAAAAATTAGCCGGGCATGGTAGTGCACACCTGTAGTTCCAGCTACTTGGAAGACTGAGGTGGAAAGATCGCCAGAGCCCAGCAGGTTGAGGCTGCGGTGGCTGGGAGCAGCCACTGCACTCCAGTCTGGGTGACAGAATGAGACTCCAACTCAAAAAAAAATTAGAAAAATAATATAATTGCTAAAAGAAAGTGTTCTGTCATTGCCAAAGGAAAGTTATAAGTTGGTACCTGGCACATAAAATACACTAAGTGTCTGCTGTTTACTACTTTAGCAGTACTAGCCTTTTTAATTCAGACAAATTCTATCCTTCCTTAAACTATGACTGTAGGAAATAGTTTTACTTGAAACTATAGGCAGAGACATTGTCTTTAATAGTACAGTGTTTTCCATAAGCATAACTTCTCTCCCCTGACAACTTTTCCAGTCAGATGATTTTAGTTATTTGAAGTCATATGCTTTCTAAGTGTATTCCATGGAAAGCCTTATATTACTAAGATTTTAGAAGTTATTAAAATAATGCTTAAACAATAATAGCCACCCTTTGTTGATTTTAATATATGACAGCTATTCTGCTGAGCTCTTCTGGTTCCTTCATTTAATCTACATAATGTTTGAGGGAAAGAAGTTATTGGCCATGCTGGAATGCAGTGGTATGATCATAGCTCACTGCAGCCTCCAACTCCTGGGCTCAAGTACTCCTCCCGTGTCAGCCTCCCGAGTAGCTGGGATGGCAGGTGCACCACACCATATCCAGTTAATTTTTATTTTACTTTTTGTGGAGATGGGGTCTCACTATGTTGCCTAGCTGGCCTCAAATGATTCTCACACCTTGACCTCCCAAAGTGCTGAAATGATAGGTATGAGCCACTGAGCCTGGCCAGCCAGACTTTATTGCCCAAGGGCACAGTTGTTGACCAAGCTGGGATTCAGTGGTTTCCTTCTTCAAAGGCAAAGTCTTAATGTCTCTAATGAAATGTCTTTAATAGGCTTCAAAGTTCTTTGCTTAAAAGCAGCTTAGCATCTGAGTTTAGGGAGGAATCTGAGTTTACTGAGGAGCATGAACACATGGACTTCCTGTCCTCAGATACAATAAGGACCTTCAAAGCACAGAAATCACTGGTAAGCCATGCACCAAAACAGGTACCCTCAGCTCTTACTGAGGAGCATGAACACATGGACTTCCTGTCCTCAGATACAATAAGGACCTTCAAAGCACAGAAATCACTGGTAAGCCATGCACCAAAACAGGTACCCTCAGCTCTTTGTTCTAAGGCAGTTTGGACAGTTTGAGGTAAACAACTTGTATTACAGAAGTGTAAGTGAAGATGCTGCTGATTCGGTAGTTATTTAAAAACCATTTATAAGACTATTAAAACATCATCTGGAATTACAGCAGCATATTTTACCTATTTTTAAAACCACAAAAACCTATTCCCAGTTTTGTTTCATTTTAAATTTATTTACTATTTAAATATTTCCAGAAACTACATTTTAATCACATAGACAATCCAGATAGGTAAGGTTTCTACAGATGAGTTTATAAAATACAAAATAAGCAAAGGAAAAGGAGCTTTTTCTTTACTCCCCATGGAGCAAGACTGAAACTACAGACAGAAACATTGTCTTTAAGCTAAATTTCCTAATTGCATATTGGCAACAAACCAAAAGTAAATGCAGGATCACAATACAATAACTGTTGGAGGCAAATGCATGTATTCTTCAGTTTCACTTCTGGAAATAAAATTTAGATAACTTATTTATTAAGTTTTATTTGAATTAAAGATAGAAAACAGTTTTACTTGGAATCTAATTCAAATTATTATGACAATCTAAGTTTACAGTTATTCCTTTTATATATACGTTATAGTACCTTTATTAGACATTTTATATAAGGAATAAAGGTAATCATTTATGAAGTTTAACAATAATCAGAAAATATTCTCCAAAAGATTTTCCCCAAGTGTGTTGCTAGGTATAAAGCTCATACATAATTGCTAAGATACTTACATTAAGGGCATGAGCTCAAGTCATTAAATAAAAATAAGACCATATTTGTAAAAAAAGTGCTATAGAAGAAGGTGCACAAAAAACATGCACTTAACATACACTTTCCAAAAGGATGTAAACTGTACTTTTAGGCACTGTCATCTCTTCAGATTTCCTGTACCAACAATACAGAGCAGAATTTCTGATGTCTAGATGCTACTGCAGGAAGATGACTAAGGCAACCACGTGCAGAAAAGCATGTGTGTAACGTATGGACAATAAAAAGATAACATTCCAAAAGTAAAGGCTTGCAGTGACAGTTGTTTGAAACCTGAAAGGCTTGGAGTGTCTTCTTGCCATTAAAAAATGTAGATTCATGCCACAAATATACCTGACGTGCATACTTCCTTCAAAATGATCTTTAAAAATTTTAAGCGGCATTTTATTTCTATGCTGTTTTATAGGTGGCTATGTGGCTTCTGTACTTAATAAGTAGCCAATCAATTTTGAGAGCCAACTATTTCTTAAACTTAGTATGAAATAGACATTCTAAATATGGAATGTTTAACATAGATACTAGATTTTAAAAATGACAATCTTCAAAATTCCTCATGTTTTTGTAATGTTGCATAGCTGAGAATTAATCTATTACATATAAAAAAAGTGCTCTGTTCATTCAAGTAGAAATTTGCTCCAATCTCCTTCAATTTCCTTCTTTCATACTGTATAGTGGATCCACAAGTTTATTGTGCACATGCATTAAACCTTAAAGAAAAAAAGCACAGTTCTAGTTGTTTTTGCCAGTTTTGAACTATCTCATTTGCTTTAGAAAACAAGATTTCTTTTGGATACACCCCATCTGATACAAAAGTCAAGTTTACTGAAAAAGTACAAAGAGAAATGTTGCAAGAATGCTTAGTTTTATCTGTCTAGCAAATACCACTTTACAATTATTCATGGCATAGTGTAGATCTAGAATGTGTACAAGTCCTTGGGAGTAGCCAAAGTAGAAGCAGTTCTTGTTTTCAGATAACAAATCTGAATACGGATTTAGTAATGTTTTAATTACATTTTAAAAGTGATTGTTGACTTTGATCCTCCAGCAGTTCCTCTACTAGACTCCAGTGAGGGGCTCAGAACTGTGCTTATACTCTAATGTATTATCCTATCTGTTCATCTGGCAAATTATTTCCACTAATTTGAAATGTGTATTTATGACAAGGGTTGACCACAAGCTTAACCATTCTACATGGAGGGAGAGTTACTAAAACAATATAGAAAAACAACCTGTATTAAATAATAATTTTAAGTATGAGTTAAGTAAATTTAAAGTTTTATAAATAATATGTATATATGCATTAGAGTCTACATTTAGATTTTAAATTTAGGTTTCATTTTATAACTGGTATGTATGCTCATAGATCTTACCTCTTAAATCTTCTTAAACAGCTTATCTTCCAATAATGCATAAGGGCTATATTTCTTGGAAAAAAAAATGTTCTAAAAAGATTGTCTTTGACCCAACTAATGAACTAAAGATCTTCTATTCTGGATGTTAAATTGGCTAAGTTTTCCAGGTGATTAAGAACATGGAGGCTGGGGAAAGGCACTCTGCATTTTTGTCAGAAAATGGAAGTAGAGTATTGCATTAGGGAGACAGAGTACTTGTTAGCAAGATGTTCCTTGTCAAGAGGCTGCAGAAAGCACTCTAAAATCTAAACTGTGAGGAAGATCCACTTTCAGGGGCAACAAAAGAACAAGGGAAAGTGTTGGTGTAGGACAAATATTTCACTCACTAGTTCTACCAGTCAAACTCCTTTATAGCCTACTCCAGGGTCTAATCAGCACCTCAAACTTAACGTGATCCATAGGAGAGGGTAAAATAAAGATAAGGGTATTATCAGTCATGTGATTTAGAAGATGCATCATCTTCTAGAGAATCATCTTGCAGAGGATCATTTTCCTACTTGGTAGAATTCATCTGTTGTTTGCTAACAACTTTGATCTTGGAAAAGATCAAACATGAGCTTTAGAATATATACAGCTTAAAAATAAATAAAAATCAACACCTTTGTAAAGTTTCTTTTTTCACTATATATTATATACCTTTTATACATAAAGTAAGACTGCTTCCAAACTACAAATTTTAAAAAGTCTATTACGCTTTTTAAATAAATAAAAAATTTAGTGTGATTTCAGCTAAAAACTGACAGATTTCTACACAGAAACAGTATATAAGTAATTGCTACTTAAGTCAAACAGAAATAAGTAAATTCTGAATATTGGTAAAAATTTACCAGACTTCCTGACACATTGCCAGTAGGAAAATTCACAGGTTTTAAATAACAATGTATATACAAAATAACTTTCATGATTTTGGCTCAATATGAATTCATACTAATTATGTCAGACTATTGGGTGGGGTGGGCCTAAATACGAAAAAAAAAATTCATCATGACGATAATGTCATGAAAATATACTAAAATCAGACATTAAAGATACTCTGTTTAAAAAACAAAAATGAAAAGCTGGAATGAATACAACAAATTCCTACCTATTAGACCTGTTTTCCTGTAATTTACTTGTATCTTTCAAAAGGTATATGCTGAAATAAGCTTCCACTTACTGACAATTCTTATTCTTTTGGATCTAGTTATCCTAGTTCTCACTCAGGCACTAAGCAATGAGAATCTTAAGATTCCAGTTGGCACTTTTTAGAGCCAACAGAAGAAAGGGTAGTGGTGTGAGTGGAATCTGAAGACTTGCAGACGGTTACTACAGGACTTACGTGCTCCAGTATTGACATGATATCCTAATAGTTCAATGGAGATACATGGCAGATATATAAAACTACTTTTGGAATATGAACACATTTATGAATATTCAATTACACTATACCAAAGTACTGTTAGTCCAAAATAATATCTCAATTTTTTTCATATTAAAGGAGACAGTCTGACGGAGGCTATAGCTCCAAAGTGGAAATCACTGTGTGGCCATGCAACAATCCTCTCATGAATGGTTTATGTTTCATTTGGACAGAGTAACTGAAAGAACTAACTATATACAAACATCTGTCTTTTCATTAACATGTCAGTACCTTTTTTGGAAGCAATGATTACAGTAAGGAAAAAAAGGATGGAAATATGGTTTTGATTTAGATGATACCATGCCTAGAGCTTACTCTGGGAGGCAGCATAACAATAACAGACTCCAGATCACATGATTTCAGTTACCCAGCTCGGCCCATATAATGAACTGTATGACTTTGATTAAGTGGCTTAACATCTCTGTCTGTTAAGCCTGTTGATTCACTTAGAAGTGGGAGCATAAGAGTAGCCACTTCATAATGTTATGAGTATTAAGTAAATCAGTAAGTATAATGTATTTAGAACAGTGCCTAGTCATAGAGGTATTGGCCATTATTAAATACCTTATTCACAGAAAAAAATGTAAAAATCTGATAAAAGCAAATTGTGAAAAAATCAAAGCATAGGAGTTTATCTGGGATTACTGGTACTAGAAAATGGCTATAACTATGTTAAATGAATCTCCTTAAAACTGGCATTAAAATTTGTGGATAATGAGGATTCCTTGTATTAACTTTAAGGAATCTCTGATTTGAGGTGAAGTGTGAAGGACTACATGGAAATACACAGGAAAACTCTGAGAGCTGTTTTAATCACATCTAGTCACTCTGCTATCTGTCAAGTGATATTTGTGGCTTGGTTAAAAAAAAAAAAGTAAAAAATATAAACGACTGGAAATAGATTTAAGTGTTAATAAGGAAATGTTTAAGTAAACTGTAATGCATTAACTTATACTATCCATTAAAAACTTTTGAAAAATATTTAGTATTCTAACCAGGAAAATGCTCATGAAATAAGTACAAATACAAGACAAAACTATATATACAGCACGATCAAAATTGTTTTAAAAATGAGTCATTTTCAGCACTTGCCAAACTTCAGTCATTTGTTTAACACCTTCAAAACTGATGCCATAATTCACATATTTACATGAATTATGAGTTCCTGGATTCCTGTATACTGACTCATGATTTTTAACATTATGTACCATATGCCTGAATATGAGATACTATCGACTGTAATACAGTCTTACACTTATATACCACTGAGAAAAAAATGCTACCAGATAAACTGATTTGATACCAATTTAAAGACATTCCCATCTCTGACAAGAGACAATCAAATATGTAGCTCTTTTAGACCATCTTAAGCAGTGATATCCAAAAAAAAAAGCTTTGATTTATTCAGTGTACTTTTCCAATACACGTTAAACACCGAGTTACTAGAGTAAAACTCTGTATCATTCATGTAACAAAGTGGCATACATACTACACATTTAGTGCATCATTGACCTACCTGTATGAGCATTACATAATTTTATCAGCTATATAAATACAAGTGGCTTTATTAAAAATATACCTATTTATATAGCTTTTGTGCGTGTATTATATATGGAGCTGAGTCAGGGAATGGGTTTTAAATTGAGTATAGTCAAATAGCTTTAAAATGTCCCTTGGAAATTCCTTAAACCACCTACTATATCAAGCAGATGTGGCTTTTAATACACAGCCTAGTATAGTAAGGTTTGATAATTCTGGACTATCAGAAAAAGCAGAAGGAAAATCAACATGCAGAAGTCTAAGCAATCACACTGTTCACATGCAGAATTTATTCTAGTCTGTCTTAATATTTAGCCATTATAACTTTAATATATGGGAATAGATCTGTTTAAAATTGTGAAGAGCCAGTAGGAGACCCACATTATCCATTGATTAATTCCTAAACACAGGCTGAGAGGAGACGGGTTGAGGTGGGACTGGTAAATATAAAAAGAAAATCAGAAAAGATATAGACACATTTCCTTTTGGGTTATTTAATTTTGTTTTTTCAATAAGAAAGTAAAATATTGTATTAAACTTTGTATTTCAAGAAAAATTGAGTTTGCTGAAAATATAGATTGAAGAAATTCTCTTAAAGAAAAAAAAAAAAGAAACTTCTCTGAAAGAGTACTATCTGAGGTGAGAAGTTCCATCCCTTGAAAGAACCAGCTATTGTGTCACCAGTTTTCAACAAGCCACAAAGTGGGATTTAACTCCACAGTCACATTAAGTTTAATTGTTATAACAGAACATCTTACAATCTGTGAAATTCAGTGCTCACCTTTAAAGTATTTCACAGTTTTAACTCTTAATTCTAAAGTAGCATCTTCATCACATACAAAAATAGTCCGGGGATGCTGCTGGAAAGCTGAGACAGTCCACATGTGGTTGACTCCTTCTTCTATTGCTTTGTACAGGGCAAATGCCTTGTGTGCCCCTGTTATGAGGATCATCACCTGAAAAACCGCAAATATCACTTAATTAATAGTTACACGTGTTTCAAATAAGTAAGCTCTATTTTTTGAACAAGGACTTCAGTACTTTTCTAAGGCTTGAAAAGCATAAACAGCTCCATATTTCTTTACAATTCAAGGTATTTACTTCTACTTTTTACAGTAACAAGCAAGCACAAAATGCTGCTTCTCATTTAACAAAGCAAAATAGTATCCTGTTATGCTGTTATTCTCAAGGAAGGAAATGACAGCCCAACAAAAAAACTTAAAAATGAGGCAGGGTCTAGTGTTTAATTCTTGCATACTTAAACACACCAACTGAAGAAGAGATTCAGCCCTAGTGAGTCCGTTTCTGCCGGAAAATAACTGTGCTATTCTACATATAGTCAAGAGGTACTTGATGCTAAATCACCCTGAGGGAACTAAACGTGTGTAGTGTAATAGCACTGCATGTTCGTCCCAGCAGTTCCTTCACAATTTCAACAAGTTCCTCCCTATTTCAACGAAAAACAAACCATATGGTCAGCAAGATTTTAGGACTTCAAAATATGAAGCAGGAAGAAGCAAGTGAAGCAGTATCTCAAAAGAGTTGGGGCCTAATTCTGAGTTTACAGCTTGGAAAGACTTAAATTAGTTGATTCCTAACATGTCAATGAGACTGCCAAAAGTAGGTTATTTCAGTTACTGAAACCTAGAAAACAATTTACACTGCAAATAGAATGCAACCCAAATAACAATTATTGAGCCTCATCATCCTTCAAGATAATAACATCAAAAAGAAATGAACATTTAATTCTTACTTCTCTAGCATCCATCACTGTCCCCACACCAACAGTTAGGGCCATAGTTGGCACTTTTGATAAATCTCCATCAAAATATTTAGCATTTGCCAAAATGGTGTCCATTGCTAGAGTCTTTAATCTTGTCCTTGATACTAAACTGGATCCAGGCTCATTGAAAGCGATATGACCATCTGGACCAATTCCTTTCAAAAGAAATACACACATACACATACATATAAAGTAAACACAATTTCTCACATGTAGTAAATAAGGTTTTTTCAAGTTCACTGTGACTTTAAAAGCAAAGAGTCATAAACACTTTTATTTTACAGTTGAATTCCTTAATACTGCATTAAAATATTTGTTTCTGTATTAATTCAACAAATATTTTCATGTTTTCTATATGTTTAGCAATGAGCTGGCATGATTCTAGTATCAGCAGTAAAATTAAATACCACCTCACATTAGCATAACACTTTACAATTCATAAAGCCCTTTCATGTACACCATCACAACATATATTGAACAGTCTTATGAGATGGTCAGATTAGGCTTATCTATTGCCCTCATTTTCCCCACTTTTTTAAAAAACACAGAATGAAACTCTGATGTTCAAGAAAAATAAATGACTCATTCAAAGTTACAATTTAATAAATACTGAGGCTGGATTCAAATCGAAGTCTCCCAATTCCTAAAACTCAGTGGTCTTTATAGTCACACTTTTAATTTACTTGCTTCTAGACTAGATGGAGCAGTTAACTAGTAGCCCTATGTATAGTTCCCTCACTTATAAAAATAAACATGTGTGGGTTGGACAAGACAATATCTAGGGCAGTAGTTTTAGTCAAACTTTTGGCTGTAACCTATGAGGGGGATCCCCCAAATCCTGGAATTTATTTATAAAGTAGAATTGCATATTCTTGCCGGGCTCGGTGGCTCAGCCTGTAATCCCGCGCCTTTGGGAGGCTGAGGTAAGTGGATTGCCTTGAGCCCGCGGGTTCGAGACCCGCCTGGGCAGCGAGACCTCATCTCTACAATAAATCAAAAAATCAGCCAGGCGTGGTAGCGCATGCCTGTAATTCCGGCTACTCGGAAGGCTGAGGCGGAAGGATCGCCAGAGCCCAGCAGGTCGAGGCTGCAGTGGCCGGGAGCGGCCACTGCACTACAGTCTGGGCGACAGTGTGAGACTCCAACTCAAAAAAAAAAAAAAAAAAAAAATTGCATATTCTTACATGTTTAAACTTCAGTCACCTTCAAAGTACTCTCTGATGCAATGCACCTATTGAGGTGCTTTTTCCACTGTTCAGAGGAGTTTCTGAACTTGTCAATTTTGATGCCTTTTAGTGCTTCTAACATTTTTTTTGTTTTACCGCTTCCACATTGGCATAACATTTTCCTTTAAGGACTTTTTTCATCCGGGGAAACAAAAAAAAGTCTCTCAGGGTGAGATCAAGTGAATAGGGAAGGTGGTACATAGGGGTCATAATGTTTTTGGCCCAAAACTGCTGAACACTCAATGCGGTGTGGGCAGGTGTGCTCATAAATCATCCATCATGAAATAGGCAAATGCGATGAAACACTAAAAAAATTCAATTAAGCGGAACATGGCCTCTCATGACAATGCTAGCTGGTACACTGATGGGTTCCTAGGACAATTACCTAGTGGGAGAAGTCTGTAATTCTGGGTTTTTGGGGGTCCCCTTGTATTTTAAGAAATAACATTTGGTACTGCAATCTAGTATACATACACATAAAACATTAAATATAATTAAAACAAGAATTGTATGAAACCATACTTACCTTTAAGGAGCCATATAAGCTAATTTCTATTACACTGCATTTCAAATAAAATAGAAAATGCTGGACATAACTGACTATGTTGATTCCATGACCTAATATTGGGTGACAACCATGGTTTAAACACTGCTTTAAAAAGTCCTATTGCCAGCTCTAATATTCCAGACTGCCTCTAAAGTATTGTCAGAAATGTGGCATTCCTCATTTAAAGGAAATGGGACATAATTTTTCTTTCACAAGATCAAGAATCTTTCTATGACATAAATAAATCTTATATAAAGGTACTCTAGTAGCTAGTCATATTTCTACCAACTTTAGTCAAAAAACAAAACAAAAACAAAATCCATAAGTTCTGAGCCGTTAAAATATCATTTACATTTACATTCTGCAGATTTACTTTAATTAAAAAATACGTATATTTTACTGACACTTGGCATATGATTCTAACAAAATCTTCCCAGGCCACAATAAGGTAAAATATGGCAAAGAGTAACTTGATTTTGAAGAATAAAGGAAGAAACGAAAACTCAAGGAAGCAGATACAAACTACCAAAGCACAATAATCTAGGAATTTTTAGTGTGGGGACAGAAAGTCAAACCTACAAGCGGTTAATATGCATTGACTATTTTCAACTATTAAATATGTTTTAATTGTAGTCATTTCCCTCTAGGTTTGTAAAAGTATTACGTTTCTCCTCTTGGGTACACATATGCCTACACTTTTATGTTTACATATGTGTAAAGAGGAAAGGATGGAATCAGGAAGTAAAAGCTCCAGAAAACAAGGAGGTCTGCTAGATCAACACTAGCACTCTTGCTGGTGATCTGGGCCATACAGACGTGTATACCTAAGCTGAAATTATGAGTAAAGGTTAACAATGGAGAAGGGTCAACATATTCACTTATTGGCTATGAGTAACTGTCAAACATTAAGCTTCCTGAAATAATTTTTTTTAAAAATGAGGCTAATTCATATTCAGCATTGAAGTCTAAATTAATATATTAGCACCTATATGAAGCATCTCAAAAACTGGAGTAAATGTCTTTCCTGTGCTCCTACAGTCTTATGGGTAGAATGGACATGTACTCTTCATGAAAGTAAGAATTTTATCTTCATTACTATAATCTTACCATTTAGAACTACATGTGACACATAGGGAGCACTTAAGAAATGATTACTGAACAAATCAACGTATGGTTGCCTTTCTTCGGTCAGCTCAGTATCTTTTTTTTTTCATTAATCAGTATTTTTTATTATGGTTTTGTGGGGTACAGTTAAGGGTTAGGTGTACAATAACGTTTCATTCAGGCACCCTGTAGATAAGAAGTGTTTTCCCATCCCCCGACAGATATTTGCTACTGTTAATCCCATCCCCCTCCCCCCCATATTTTCCCAGTACCATCAGTCATTTTCTCATAGTATTGCATTGGATGTTCAAGGTCCATTATATGAGTGAGAACATGTGATATTCGGATTTTTGTTTTTGTGAGAGGTCACTCAGTATTATAGACTCTAGTTCCATCCAGGTTGCAGCGAAATTCATGATTTTGTTCTTTTTTATGGCTGTGTAGTATTCCATCGTGTATATGTACCACATTTTTTTAATCCAGTTCTCTTTTGATGGGCAGCATGGTTGTTTCCAGGTTCTTGCTATTGTGAACAATGCTGCGATAAACATATGTGTGCAGGTATCTTTTTTATAGAGTGATTTATGTTCTTCAGGGTATATTCCCAGTAGGGGGATTGCAGGGTCATATGGAAGGTCAATTTTTAGAGCTTTTAGGAATCGCCACACTGCTTTCCACAGAGGTTGCACTAGTTTACACTCAAGCTCAGTATCTTGTCTCCAACCTCCCACCTCTTTCTTCTCTGCTGTCCTCACCACAGGGGCTAGAACAATTGGAATTCCCCATATCCTTCTTAGGCACAATGACTGTGGTCTAAAGATAAGCATTTGTACCAAACTGTACTAGTCAGACTCTCTCCAGATCTGATCTTGACCAGAGATAAAGAAAGAAAGGGATGGAGAACTGAGGCACTGGATGATAGCACTGCAGGGAGAACATTGATAAGCTTCTACTTCTGAGATCTGAGATTCCCTGGTTTTTGTTTTTCCAAAGACATAGTTGTTTTAACTTTCCCTTCACGGGGAGACACCTCTTATCAACAAGGGTGCCTGAACAGAGCATATTTGTATACCTAACCCTTAACTGTACCCCACAATATCATTTAAAAAAATTGATTAAAACTAAAAAACAAAAACAAAAACAAAAAACTTTTCCTTCAGTTTGGCAGTCACCCCAGAATCATTCCAATAGTTTACTTTTGGCCCCATTAGTTCCCGTTACTACAGCAAACCAAAGAATCCAAGCATGCAACAAAATCAGAAGTTTCAAGTTTCCCCCACTACCTTTATTTTTACTTTTTGAAAACAAAATACCTTAATATATATTTTTAAGTTAACATATTCAGCTTGTATTTATAAAATTTCATGTTTGTGCATCTTATTGCTGGGTGAGTCAAGAATTGCACAATACACCTTACCCTTTCTCTTAACACTTTTGCCATCAGAGGAATGAGAACTTTTGAAAGTATGTATTTCCCCCTTTCTGTTTCCTGCCTTCTACCATGGAAAGGGGAACACCGGTTCTAATTCCTTGGATTAACATTTTTGATTAACGTTTTTGAGCTCTTCTCATTCTACTATTTCCCATTCAGAGGGGAGGAATGGAAAACCCCACTCTGGCTTCAAGCCCAAGCTATAATCTCTATTCCAACTTTACCTTTAATAAAGCTGATATTTTGATCCCATTTGGCACAGTTCTTAGTGTTTTTATTAACCAAACCCTGGAACAAAAGAAGGGTAAGTGGTAAGACCCAGATACCAAGCCTCATTGTAAAAACCCAATGATGATAAACCTCAACAAATATAAAGAATCAAATGGAGATTCTTTCAGTATACACATCCAATAGGGCATCCCAAATAAGAAAAAATTCAGTGAAAATGCAATAACCCTTCTCTCCTTATGCACAGAGTAATTATGTCCTTTAAACGTACATATAAAATGTCAGGCCCTGGATCATCAAATGACTACAATGAAGATGTTAATGAAAGAGGTGCAGAAAGGCTCTCAAAGTGTTTTTGTTGTTTTTTTTTTTTTTTGGGTGCGAGTGGTGGGGGTGGGATGGGGACAAGGAGTAGAGGGGAGACAATTACAGGAATCTCAAGACAAACTGGTTAAAAAACAAAGTCAAATTATTTATAGTAGTGTCAATGATAAATAATTTATCCTCCATCTACTTCAAAAGTAAAGCTGAGGTAGTTTATAGTAAAGAAATGTACAAAAAAATGTAGCTAAAAAGAAATCATAAATTACTTAAAGATGATGGGGAAGGAGGAAATTTCCACCAGGAATCTTGAGTAAGTTACAGCCTTAAACACCGCATCAAGCTATGAATGCTTTCTGGAAGGCAGGTAAAAGAACAAAATAGAGTTAGAGTGTTTTCATGTTTTTCCCCACAGTAAATTATATTTCCTAACACTGAGTCTACAAGAGATTTGTTACACAGGTAGACACCCCTTATCAACAAGGGTGCCTGAACAAAGCATATTTGTATACCTAACCCTTAACTGTACCCCACAATATCAAAATAAAAAATATTGATATAAAAAAAGAGAGATTTGTTACATGCATCCTTATGCAAGGTCAGTAAATTAATAGGAGGGGAAAAGTCCACAAATGAAGACATTTTAAAGCAGCCATTTTAAATAATGAACCTCCAACAACTAACAGGCTTTTTTGTGTGTGTATCAGTAAATGAGTGAAGAAACTTTTTGATACAATTAAGATAAACAGTTTAGGTGTATTATATTCCAGTAATTCCACTTAATTTTGATATGGAGTTTGGAAAATCTAAAGAGTGGGTAGTTGGACATTCTCAAATATCTATTGACTTAGCCTTGATATTATTGACAGGTATGTTATCTCAAAATTGAACCATATGTACAAAATGAAAAAATGCAAATGTTCTCTAGGTTACTGAAGTAATAGTAATAAAATTTATTTTAAACATAGATAGCTATTCTGAAAAGCAACAGAGTCTAACTTGGATTCTTGTTTATTCTATCAAAACAGCAAATGATATTGGCTCTGGTAGGTAGGGATAAAAATCTCTTCAGAGAGATTTCAATCTCCCTGAAAATCCTTAGAGATAATTCCCAGGGGATTCAATAAACCAAGGGACAATTTCAACATTTACATTTTAGAAAGACTGAAGTAACACTTATTGAAAGACTGAAGTAACACTTATTGAAGTATCAACTATACACCAAGCACTGTATGAGACATTTTATATATGTTATACCACGATTAATTCTCACAAATTTTGGAAAGGTTAATATTAATCTTGTTTTATAACTGATTTAATTATATTGAACTTCAACGAACTTCCCAATGTCATACAGATACCAAGTGGCCAGAACATAACACAAATTTATGTCTGACTATAAAACCAACTTTCCCTAAGGATAACCAACCACCTCAACCATACTTGGCCACTTCAACCATAAATTAACCTCATAATACAGTCCAAGTGAAGATCTAACTCATGTAATTTTGAGCAGTGTTCGATTAAACTAATTATATAATATACACTGATAACTTAATGTTATAACTTAGTTTAGAGCGTTAGTATTTTCAGTTGAATATTAAAGATTCTGGCAAAAAACAGTTTTGATTTTACTTCAGTTGTTATACTGTTCTGATAGCAATCAGTTTGCTGTCTCAGATGATACACACTGCTAACAGAAAACTGTTGTCATTACAAAAGGAAAAATTCTTCCTCCTATTTTCAACTATAGATTAGATACACACACACACACACACACACAAATTATAAAGTGGAATTTGGTCAACAATATTATTCACTTTGGAATTTATTAAGAAAATTATACAGCTTAACTCATATTAACTAAAGGTTGCTGAGAAGTAAAAAGTCTTACATCATTCTCACAGTGAGATAAAACAATTTAAGCAATCTGCTAAAATCAACCTGCTCCTCATGCAAACTTTTAGATTAACTGTTATTTGATAAGTAGGCTGGGCTGAAGTTTTAAAGAAATATTAAAAAGATAAAGCTATCATTTAGGAAAAGAAACAGATCACTTAATTATGAAAGATATGGTAAACTAACAACTTTAAAGAAGTAATTAGAAGAGTTTAACAAGAACTGGAATCTAACCTCTCAAGGCATAATTTAAACAATTCCAACTGTCAACATTAAGATTAAGGTGTGAATCTTAAGATTATTTTTTGATTAAAAAAACTAGGAATCAGTAGCAGAATATGCGGGTATTATAGACAGTCACAGGTAAGACACAATGGTAAGATTTTTATTTTTAATTTAAAAACACATAATTCAAACATTAATAAATAATGACAAAATGTTTTCACATACCTCCAACAAAAAGATCAATTCCTCCAGCTTCTTTTATTTTCTTCTCAAATGCATCACATTCTGCTTGTAAATCTGTAGCATTCCCATCAAGGATGTGTGCATTATTAGGATCTATATCAATATGCTTAAAAAAGTTATTCCACATATAAGAATGATAGCTTTCAGGATGATTCCTCGGAAGTCCTAAATATATGAAGTTAATAAATAAAAATGTAACTGTCTCCAGAAATAAATCTAAAGTTTACTGTTTAAGCCATGAATGCTATTTAATATATGTAACTTGTCTATAACCTACTCAATTTAAATGCACTTTCATGTGGAATATATGCTTATTATATGCCTGGCATTAACCAACTTACATGTATGTATTAACTCAATCTGTAGAACATCTATGGAAATACTATTATTCTCATTTTATAAATGAACAGTTGAAACACAGAACTTTTCCTAAGGTCCCACAGCTCATAAAGGAGCTGGGATTCAAACATGGGAAGTCTAATTTATATGCACCTAATCACTATACTGCATTTCTCAAACACACACTATTTTAACTAATGAAACTGATGTATGCATTAAGCACAAAATAAATTAATCATTTAAATGAAACATTGGCCATGTTCTTCCTCCTATATGTGTGCAAAGTCTATTGAATCCTAACAGTTCTTTGGCTATAACTTACGCTACATTAAAAATGTATTCCTATATTTAAATCTTAACACAGAATTTATATGCATTTATATGCACAGAATTTATAAACAGCTTTATATTTGAAAGAGTCTTTATCTTATTAATTCTTTTTATATGTACATTACTTAATATACCCCCACAAAACTACGTTTAATTCTACCTTAAGAAAAAAAGAGAATGAGAAATGTGAACAGCTTGGCTCAAAGTTATACCACTGGTAAGTGGCAGAGCCCAGGATGAATGCAGATCTTCTGAGTTCTAGTTCTGTATTTTTTTCACTGTATGTTCTACCATCACACAAATACAGATTTTTATGTACACTCCCAATCTCATCACAAGGCAGTACATTATATTCTCAAAATATGTTCATATTACATTCAAAACATAAACTCAAACAACATACTATTATTTAAAAATATATTCATTTTATTCAAAATGTAATATATAACATATCCAAGCAATGTATTTAATATATTTAAATGTAGCTTACCTACATATTCATCCATGTTAAAGGTCTTCACATATTTAAAAGAAAGGTCTCCATTCTTATGATATTCTATTAATTTTTTATAACATCCTAAAGGTGTACTCCCTAAAACAGATAAAAATTTCATTTTCTAACACAACTGAAAAGTCTATTTTTTAAAAAGTCAATATTCACTTCACCTATTATTTTCTTACTTAGTAATAGTCTACATTTCTGATTTATTAGGCAAACAACTAAGTACCTATTCAATTAATAAATATATGATAAATTGCTCTCTGTACAAGGTACTTCAAAATTTCAGAAAACTAGAACTTGCTGAATAAGGCTAGAAATTTGTCAATAAAAATTAAAGTTTGGAAGGTTAACCTTACTTTGGATATCCTTAATTGGAATTATTGCAGCAAATTCTAGGATTAGAAACTTCTAGAGTACATCTGGATTTTTAAAAAATTTTACTTTTGAAAAAAAACTTGAGTTTTTATACAAGTGATATATAAATAGGTCAAGTGTTGACCATTTATTGAAATCAAAAGGGAAACTATTGTAAAATTTAAATACTGCCCTTACTTTCAAAAACAGACTCTGAAACTGGCAAGGATTGAGTGAGGAATTTCAGCCTCAAAGATTTTTAACTGGCCTCCTGTTTCTTGTCCTCTGTTGTCTTCAGCATGTATCCACTAAATTGCATGAAGTGGGAAAGAGAAGAAGTACTATTTGTTAAAGATAGAGAAGACATATAAGAAATGGGATCTTGGCTTCGGCTACTTCATCTGAGTTCATTCTATTGTTTATAATGTGATTCTTCTACATGTTTTATAAAGCTAGTTAATATTTGAAAAGAGATTTGTTTGATGGTGCTTCATGATATGGCAAAATAAATGAATTTAGGCACTTGCAGGTAGCCTCCCTCTTTGTTTTCTAAATTTGTTATATATATAGAGTAAAAATACTGCCTCTCATTTGAGAAAAGAAGTAGTGGCTATAAATAATAAAAACTACATTAGTTTATAGAACAGAAGAACAAAGGTTTTCTTAAAGCTAAGCACGTTGATTTAAATTTCAATTGATAATTTAAAAATTATGTAGTCAAGTTTTATAATTCTCAAAGAACTATATTCCAGTAACACCTGTCCAAAAGACGGCTAAATATGCTTTCCTTTCTTCCTTTCTAGAAGCATAAACAAATCTTATCTCTTTCAGTATCAAGAGAAGAGCTATAGGATTCCCTCAAATTGAGGATACATGAATAAAAAAGTGAGAAGCCACAATGGTGATGACAAAAACATTCATTTTCTACTTGTTAATCAACATGGCTGAAGTAAAAAAATAAGATGGCACAGGATGAATTGGTTAAAAATATCATTTTAATATTTACTTTGTAACATCCATTTACTAACATTACTCGTGCATATCTCACAACTTCAGGCATTATCTTTCCCATCTTGAAAATGGAAGAAATGGGTCAAAAGAATAAGGAATTTAATATAAAAATCACATGGTTGTGAAGCCAGGGAACCAATCTCGATGTGTTTAGTGCCAGAGCTCACACAAATTCCATTACATAACATGCTAGTAAACATGAGTGAAAGCAAAGCAAAACAGCCAGCAAGTTCAGGCCTATTCTTTCAACTGCAAGCAGTCCAATTTGCCTAGCCTAATTTAGTGTAGAGGAATGTTGGGAATAAGGCTGGGAAACAGATAGGGCCCACAGCATGCAGGTCTTTAAGTGTTAGCCTCTTTAAGATCACGTCACGAAATAAAAATTGAACAGCTACCCCCCAAAATTTGTGCTTGGAGGGGAGATAATTACAATAAGCATGGTACTTGCAATTAAGAACACATATGTTTATGTTTCAAAAACAGTGAGGAAAGAAGGGGAACACATTATTAACACTGTCAATGGTCAATGAAGGAAAGTAGAAGAAAATATCAAGGAAGGTTTTCCAGGGATACTCTCTTGGCAAGTATATTACTAGGAAATTATACTACACAAAATAAAGCAAGAGTTGTAGATCTAAATACACAAAAACATGTTTGGCACTGTTGGCATTTAGGACTTGCTAAAGTCTTCTGTTTCCACTCAAATTACTGTTTGTTTGTTTGTTTTCTGCATCATAAATAAGACAGTATCATTAAGACAGGTAAGCTGAGTTCATATGAATCAGTGTTCACTGATTCAAACAATACAGAAATCGTGTTCAACCACCAGGGCTCACACATCAGAACTGAGGATTCCCAGGATGTATAGTACTGGTGTGCCTAATTTAAAAAACAAAACAAAACAAAACAACCGCTTTTTGCTATCTCACCAAGATATATGAATCTGGATCAAAAAACTAAAGCAACAAACAAACAAATCAACTTGAAGAGTACCATTTATTGAAATTACCCAAGTGAGAATAATGTTATGTAACTGTCATATTTGAGGAGAGAAGCAGGAGAAAACAATCTATTTAAATAAAACACAATTGTGGGAACTACAAATTTATATAGTATTTACAGTATACAAGAAACTTGCACATACATTATCTAAGCTGAGCCTTAAAATAGCATCTTGTTATTATATTTTCTTATAGGTAAGGAAGCCAAGTCTTGTGTAGAATAAATGCCCTGCAGTCAACAAGTAACAGCTATAATTCTAGTACTCCTTGTGAAAGTCATGAGTCAATAATATCAAATAAAGTGCCATAAGAACAAATGACACCACCTGGTTATTTAAGAGAAAACTTTACAGAAAACTAAGTCCAATAAAATATGCAATTAATGCTATGTGATAGAGACATACCAGTATGCACATTTTTGCTTGTAATACTCCTATAAAAGAAAAATCAACAAAGAAATAGTAAAGGGGGTAATAAGATAATAAGAGAACATAAGGCAAGTGAGATGAAATTAAGTGGCAATAGCACATGCCTTAGGTACCTCTTAATGATTAATAAGACAGCCAACCAACTAAAAAATGACATGAATAGTGAAAGAAATGCCCCTAAAAACAAAGGGCTACCAGAAAAAGGTAGAAAAATATGACCATCACTTAAGTTAGCATATTTCTTATTGCATTTTAGAGTGGTAGATTAAGATTAAATTTTAACACAAGAAATAGTAACAAAATGTAGATACTAGATTATATATATAATACTATACACAATATAATATAAATAAATGTATATTTTTTTATGCCCCATCTTTATATACTAATATATTCAATCAGTGACATGGCAGTAAATGAATGGGTAAAGTATTTTACTAAGAGAACCCTATAATTCAATAAACTTACATAACATCAGAATCTAAAATGGAAGAAGTAGTTTATTACCTGTTGGTAAACCCAATGTGAAAAATCTGTCCCGTCCTGGTTTGAACTGAATGATGCGATTACAGATATATTTGGCCGCCCATTCACTAGCCAAGTCATAGTTATCAAGAATTACAAGCCTCATTATGGTGATGTACAGCTTCCAGGACAAGAAGTTCAAACCTGAGAAAATTCCATTTTAGAGTACTTTAAGTAATTTACAGACTCAAATACAAGTGTACTATACTGATGATTTTAGAATGGACATTACTAAAGAAGGACATGCACATATACAAACACAATCTGTATTTTTAAAATAGTAATATCTATTCTCTTCTGAGCAGACCTTGAGTTATAGGCAGTGGGCGAGGTCATGTATGTACAGTGGCTCTCTGTGGATTCCAGTCATAGATTCAACCAACCATGGACAGAAAATATTCAGGGGGAAAAAATGGATAGCTGTACCTGCACTGAACAGGTACAGACTTTTTTTCCCTTGGTATTATCCCCTAGATAATACCTTATATTTACATAGCATTTATATTGTATTAGGTACTGTAAATAATCTAGAGATGATTTAAAGTATATAGGAGGCTGTAGGTAGGCTATATGCAATTGCTATGCCATTTTACATCAGGGTTTCAGAGGGAGGTCCTGGAATCAATCTCCCACAGATACCAAGGGATGACTTAATCCTTACAGGAATCCTTAAAAAAAAATACTCCGTTTTAGATAAGAAAATAGACTCACAAAATTTGACGGTCACACGGGCAGTAAGCGACAAAGCTAGAACCTAAACTGAGACAATTTTAAGGCACTAGGATCACACTAGACATGTTATTTTTAATAAAAAGTGAATTTAACAGAAGAAAAAGAAAACAAAGTGAACTAAACTGCCAATCTCTGAAGGAAAACTTTCTTTTTTAAAAAAAGCAATTTTTGTTCCTCAAAGATTATGAAAAATTTTATACAAATAAGAAGAAACCAGTAATTTAAAAGCTATATAATTCCATTTTTATAAACTGACTTACATGAAAGATGTAAAAATTAGAATTCTCATACTAACTTGTACCTCCTGATTTCTGTAGGATACTTAGTATTTTTCTTTGTATAAATTTAAGGTGTACAAGTGCAGTTCTTTTTCATAGACATACTATTTAGTAGTAAAGCCTAGGCTATAAGTGTATCCATCACCCAAATAATGTACATTGTACCCATTAAGGAATTTCTCATCATCATGCACACCTCCCCCCACGCGCCACTTTTCAGAATCTTCAGTGTCTATTATCCCATACTCTATGTCCACACGTATGCATTTCTTAGCTTCCGCTTAGATTAATAAGAACATGTGGTATTTTTCTTTCTGTTTCTGAGTTATTTCAATTAATGGCCTCCAGCTCCATCCAGATTGCTGAAAGGATGTGATTTCATTTTCAATAGCGAAAAAGTACCCCGTTATGCATATATAGCACATTTTCTTTATCCCATCACTTGTTGATGGACACGTACGTTGATTTCACATCTTTGCTATTGTGAACAGTGCTGAGAAACATGCCAGCGCAGTTATCTTTTTGATATAATGATTTCTTTTCCCTTGGGTAGATACCCAGTCATGGGACTGCTGGATCAGATGGTAGTTCTATTTTTAGTTCTTTGAGAAATCTCCATACTGTTTTCCATAGAAATTATACTAATCTACATTCCCATCGACAGTGCAGAAGTGTTTTAACATTTACACTGTGTTCTATAACCATAATTCCCAGATTTTAACTTAGCTTTATATTTAAATCGATCAGTCACCAACATTGATCTTTTTATAACATGTCTACAGCATTCTTGAGTTCTGTCCCCACATACTTTATGTAGAGTAATAAGTCAAATTTTTTTAATTAATGGAAAAAGGTTTCATTACAATGAATATATGAAATCTAAATGATGTCCCTAAGGAGAAAATGGTTTAGAATTCTGGCGTAACAATATCATTACCATGATCTAAATTCGGACAGACTAACAACAGATAAACAGTATCTACAGATAACAAATTACATCATAAGTCACAAATTCAGGTCAACAAATGTACTCAGGCTCCATTTAAATAAACCAAAAACCTAACGTCAAAAACAATTTCAGGCTTATACCAACGAATTGCAAACATCTGCTGGCTGTTATGACCATCAAAAGATGTATTTACTCCTATTAAGAATACATGCAGAATGGCCATCATCAATAACTAGAAAAATAACAGATGCTGGAGAGGATGTGACTAAAAGGCAACACTTCTACACTGTTGGCGGGAGTGTAAATTAGTACAGTCTCCGTGGAAAACAGTGTGGCGATTCCTAAAAGTTCTAAAAATCGGCCTTCCATATGACCCCACAATCCCCCTACTAGAAATATACCTAGAAGAACTCATATCACTCTATAAAAAAAGATACCTGCATGCATATGTTCATCACAGCATTGTTCACAACAGCAAGAACATGGAACCAACTGTGCTGCCCATCAAAAGAGAACTGGAAAAAAAAATTTGGTTCATAAACACAATGGCATATTACGCAGCCATTAGGAAGAACAAAATCGCCGGGCTCGGTGGCTCAGCCTGTAATTCCGCGCCTTTGGGAGGCTGAGGTGAGTGGATTGCCTGAGTCCGCGGGTTCGAGACCCGCCTGGGCAGCGAGACCTCATCTCTACAATAAATGAAAAAAATCAGCCTGGCGTGGTAGCGCGTGCCTGTAATTCCGGCTACTTGGAAGGCTGAGGCGGAAGGATTGCCGGAGCAAGACTCCAACGCAAAAAAAAAAAAAGAACGAAATCTTGAATTTTGCAGCAACCTGGATGGAATCAGAGTCTATAATTCTGAGTGATCTTTCACAGAAACAAAGATATGAGTACAACATGTTCTCACTCATAAGTGGACCTTAAACAACTACCCTAATACTATAAGAAAAAGATTGACAGTAGCGGCAAACTACGGGGGGCGGGGGCGGGGAGGTGGGATTAACAGTAGTCAATATCTGCCTGGGGAAGGGGGGGCTCACCTCATCAACAAGGGTACCTGCACAGTGAATATTTGTATACCTAACCCTTAATTTTACCCCATAATTTTAAAATTAAAAAACAACAAAAACAACATGGGACGAACTGTGCTGCCCATCGAAAATGGACTGAATTTTTAAAATGTGGTACATATACACAATGGAATATAATGCAGCTATAAAGAAAGACAAAATTATGGACTTCACAGCAACTTGGATGAATTTAGAATCTATCATACTCAGTGATCTATCACAGAACTGAGTACCACAGGTTCTTAATCATAAGTGGATTCTGAACATTTACCACGATACTACAAGAATGGGATTGGTAGCAATAGGACTCTGCTGGGTGGGGGAGGCATATAACATCACTGAGGGTACCTCATCCTAAACCAGGTGAAGTGAGGACCAGTGAAAAGCCCAAACTTCACCTGTACATATGTATCTAATCCTGACTTGTACCCCATACCTTTAAAATAAAATTTTTTTAAAAGAGGAAAAAAAATAAAAAAAAATATTTGGCACACTGATTTTAAAAAAAATTTATTTTTAATAAGGCGAGGAGGAGAAGGAAGGGCATTAGAGCTGTCCAGTGTCCTGAGTCCTGACCAAGCCATCTCTTTGCTGAGCACTAAGCTAGGTTCTGTAAACAAAAATGATTAGAGAAGGACTCTTATTAGCAAAGGATGTAGAATCACTTAAGTGTCTCTGAGGCTGAAATTATCACCCTCACTTTTCAGATACAGATAACCACAACTCTGAGCAGCTTAATTGCTTAAGTCTTTCATAAAGCTATTAAGTGGTCCCGGAAGTTGAATTTAAAACCGAGTGTCCCTGACTCAAAGACCCGAGCTCTAAATACAAGTACGCCTTTTCCGTAGACTCACTTAGGATGCCTGTAAAAAACAAAGATTCTCCTTCGCCGGGCACAGTGGCTCACGCCTGGAAACCCAGCACTTTAGGAGCCTGGGGTGGGAGATGGGGTGATCGCTGGAGCCCAGGAGTTAGAGATCAGCCTGGGCGACAAAGAGAGACGCCCAATCTCTACAAAAAAACCCCGAAAACATTAGCACGAGCCTGGAGTCCCAGCTACTCCGGAGGCTGAGGCAGCAGGATGGCCTGAGGCCAGGAGTTCGAGGCTGCAGTGAGCTACGACAATCTTGCTACTGCAGTCCAGCCTGGGTAAGACAACCATTCAAAAAAAGTAAAATAAAATATTAAAAATACAGATTTTTCAGGCCCCTCTTCCTGCACAGTGTTTCCTCGGACCCGAAACGAAGGCCCGGGGACTCTACTTCCACGTGTCTCACAGGCGACTCTTACCATCAAGTTAAATTTGGGAAAAAAACACCTGACACTTCATTACAAAGAAGCTCAAGGGAGTGTCTGGAGCCAAGGGAAAGGCAAGTTTCTGTTCTGCAAACTCCCGAGGGTGTAGAGTTCCCTCCAAGGGTCCCAGCTGCACCCCTAACCCGGGGGACAGAAAGCACGTCTCTGCCGCACTCACCCCACTTTTTCACACGGGCCTTGCCCAGCGTTCGCTGACCCTAAGAGACCATCGCCGCCATGGCCCAGGGCAATCCCCCGGCCCTGCGACCCGCCGGCCCTGGAGGGCGACTCGGCCCCGGGTCCCTGCGGTTGCGGGCCACTTCAAATGCACATTGCCGGGAGGGCACTGCGAACACCCACCCCGAACCGTCGAGGCTGGACGGGCACACCCCTCCAGGGACACTGCTGGCGAGGGGCGGGGCCGGTCCCGGTGTCCGCGCTCCCCGAAGCCTGGCGCCCGGGCCGCATGGTGAGCGCGGCCGGCGGACCCCGAGGGGCGAGGGCGTCGGGGCAGGCCGGAGACCGGAAGTACCCCCGGGACGGCGGGGCCGCGACCGCGAAGGCAGACAAGAGTGACCGCGAGTGCGGCGGGGTGTCGGGAGGAAGCCGCCCTCCGGGCCCGGCTCGAGTTCTGAGAGGACGACCCGGCCGGTTGCAGCAGGGCGAGGCCCGGGACCCCGTGAGACCCCGCTTGGGGCTCCGGGACCCTGGTTCCCTGTCTCGGCCCAAAGTCCCCCCAATGGCGAAGCCCCAGCCGGGCCCCCACCCGAGACCCCTGCTTGGACCGCCCCTCGACCTCACCGGCGGAAGTCCTCCGGCTCTTCTGATGCGGGAACAGAGGGAACAACCAACATCCGCTAACGATCCGGCAGGCGCGTGCGGCGGGAGTGCCAGGACCCGGATGCAGATCCGGACGCCGGAAACGGCTGCAGCGCGGTCGCCGGCAATGCGCTTACATGCTGCTTCCCGAGTGTCCGGTTAGAGACTCTGGGTTGTCGCTCGCGGTTCCGTGCTGCGGTTGGTCCAGGTTCCGCCTGGCGGGACGCTCTTCCCGCTCTTCTCGCTCGGTCCTGAGCATTGACTTGCCGCTGCTCTTTCCAGCTCTCCGAGACTGGATGAGAGTAGATTCTTGACGTTTATGAGATTTCGCATGTAGGGCTGCAGTGCGCACACTTGGTTGTTGCTCACAGTGACAGCGTGACTCCATCTTCACCCCAAGCTATCGGATGTGTGCTTTGCAAGCTCAGTGGCAGCTGAGCGCTTTGTATCAGTGATACTTATCCAAGTTAAGTTTGCACGAAGGAAACCCGTATATCCTGCCTGGGAAATCTGGGAGCGACTCAGTGAGAAGAAAGTGAGGTGATAGTAGGGAACTGGTTCCCTCTGCATGGGTCTAAGAAAGAGATGAAGCAGGAATCAGGTTTTATCACGGATCTCTGTCCAGGAGGGGGAAGGAAGCAGGACTGAAGAAGTGATTGTCAAGAAAACAGAAGCATTCAAAGGGAGAAGAGTTGTGTGTCTTCACCACGTTCCATTGGAGACACTATTTAGGGTTCTGTAAGGACTCAAAATCCTGTTTCCCTGGAAACGACAAAGTTAAGATATATGTGAAATGCTATGTCCCCAAACTCCTGGAGTTCTGCACCTGGGTTGTGCATGCAGGCTGCTTCTCCAGGTGAAATGATCCCCCTTGCTTACATCTCCTAGGCAAGTGTGCAGTGTTAGAAGTTCCCTGAGATCGCTCCCAACAGTGACGTGTCTCATGCGTTGAGAGTGGACGACGTTTTGTAGTGCCACAACCCTGAGCTTACAGAAGCAGTTTTTGACTTTTCCCAATACCATCAGTTTTCATCTAACAAGTGATCACTGTGCACCTACTTTGATCAAATAGGCCTGCCAGTAATAAAAAGAGCTTTGCAGGGAATATTACTGAGCATAGAGGGACATTTGTGGAATGTGTTCTTTCTCAAAGATTTTACTTCTTTGTATGTTTCTGGCACTAGAAAAATAAGTTCCGATCATGCTGTAAATAATGACTATGGTTAGTTCTGTGGTGATTGCGTTATATCATGTCCTGTCTTCTCTTTTGTCAAGTTGGTGTTTCTCTCTTCCTACTGCTGCAGTCAAAAGCAAAATCTTTAATACTTGACAGAAAAAAGTTTTGACAAGGGACAGGGATATGTAAGCTGAGTCATTCATTTGTCCATTTAGTACTGTCCATGATCACTGAAGCTCTTGGGAAATATTGATTAAATTTTGTGCCAGCCACTAACATGAGTCAAATGCATGTGTAGTCCCTCTAGTCAACTAAAAGTCTTATGAGAATACAGATATAGATTACCACCACCACCCGGTTACTAGATAAATCCTAATAATGCAAAGTAGTCTCAGTCATGAGGCTTTCAGACGTGTTGTTATGTTTGGGAGTAGCCATAGCATAGACAAGACCTGTGTCTTATCCTCCATGGAAAGACCCAAGAAACAGAAAGCTTAACAGAAGTGTCCCCTGGACCAAGGTTTAGTTGAAGAGTTTGGTGGAAAAGTTTTAGTAGGCTGTAATCCAGGGAAGTGATAGAATGACTGTGGCATAAGAGAGGAAGAGTACAGATGGTTATGTAGGTGACAGGGCAGAAACATCAAAGAGCAATCACCTCTCATTGTCCCAAGTAGCTGGCACAGAGCTTGCGATTATCAGATAAACAACCGGAAGTGTTTCAGTCAATAGGCATCATTGCTAATAAAGCAGTAGCCAAAAGGTTTCTCATCAGGTACCAGTGGGGATATATGCTGAATACCAAAAATCACACAGAATGAGATAGCTATTCATTGTGGTGGATTTCAGAGGGGGAGAGGATGAGCCTAGAACAGTTTATTTCACCAAGGTAGACACTGCAGTAGCCTCCTCATCTTATACACCATATGAGCCTCAGACACGATTTCCTCTATCCTTTCAAGTGTTTCCATAACTTCACATAGTTTCCTCACATGCTTGTGCTGATCAGGACTCAGCTGAATGTTACAGTAAGAACCTCTTTGGATCTCTAGAGTTTCTCTTTCTCTGCAGCTCTCGTCTCTTGGTCTACTGCCTTGTAAACTCTGGCAAACTTGGCTTCCATGAACGCCCGACTCTGTCCTTACAGTTCTTCCTGAGTTTCCTCTCCCTGTGCTGCAACATGGACCTTCCTGTAGACATTAAACTAGGACAATCAGAGGGCTCACTTATTTGTTTCCCAACCACGTGGGAGTCCCTGTCCTTCATTGCCTGATGTACAGTGTCTTAGAAGATACTGTTTCTACATTTTGTTCAGTTTTTAAAAAATTATTTAAATCATGGGGGTAAATCAGATTCCCCTAAATCGTCTCAGTGGGATTTAAAGAATGATTGGATCCTTCAAATATAATTGAGTAAAATCTTATTACTCCAATTCTGTTTAATGCTGAAAAGGGAGTTGCTGTATTTGGTGAAAAGCAATACACTTTTCTTCTGGCAGTTGTTACAATTTATTTGCCCCCTGTAAAAGTTGACTATTAAATTTTCAGGAGATCCTTATTAAAGTTATGATCAAGAATTACTTAAAGCCACGTTAAGCATAAAATATGATTTTTAAAATGTTGTGTTTATGGAATCAAGTTTAAATTTCTCAGGCAATAAAAATGTAATGATGTTATTTAGAAGCTTGATATAAATTGAAAGTTAACATCTTCCTAAATATTTTGCATTTCACTTTTTTTAGAAATTACATTATATGAAGAAATTAACACGTATCTTGACTAGCCTCAAAATTCCTCTATTTGTGTATATATATATATGCTCGATGTGTATTATATATGATATTTTCCAATTAAAACATTTGTGAGTCCTCAGATGAGAAGTAAGTCTAAATCTTGGAGGACCCCTGTGCTATAAGTAAAAACTGCAGAGATGTAGATTGGCATGAGTGATCTCACATGTGTTTGTAAGGAGTACCCAGAAAGTTCGTGTGTGCAGAAAGTTCGTGTGTGCTTTAATTTTTCTTGTCAAGAGTGTAGAATAAAAGCAGAAGTAAGGCCAGATTTGATTCAGGGAAGGGAAATTTGTTAGAAATCATTACTTGGCATCTTGTGGCATGCAGATTGCAAAAATAGCCCTAATTCATATTCTCTCTCTCACCTATATTGACTCCCCAGTGCTATCTGTTGTAAAGCACTGGAGAAACAATGTGGTCATGTGTGGCTCCTTTCCCTCACCCCAAGCTCTCAGAGATGTTGGGTGCATCTTCTGAGATGGGTTTCATGTTCCTGAACAAAGACGTTCCCACATGTTATGCCTCCTGCAGGAGCAAACATTTGTCAGATCAGACTCCTTGTCTCCTGACTTAGGTCTCCATAGGCAAGCAATACAGGGTGTCCAAAGGTTTAATAAACTTTCATTCACAATTTTAGCTGGAAATTTGAAAACACAGTCGGATGGGACATGTAAGTGGAATCTGCTTACATCCTCCATTTCTTAATGGAAAAACACTCTCTATAAAGGCAATTGGGGACATTTGGATTTTTAACATAAGCAAGTTTTTGAGTCAGCTATATGGCTGTCAGGAGAGACTGGGGAACTTGTTTTGATGATACATTGACTAGCAGGTTAATTTGTTTATATTGGATTTTATGTTTATTTGGGGTCATTTGGGGTTTGATAAAGTTGAGGGAAGGGCTAAGTCATTACTCTTAGGACTAGTCTTAACCAGATTACCCATCCCCCCAAACACTGAAATAAAGGCTTATCCCAGAAAGAGTAAGAAGGAAATTGATTAACCGAGACACAGTGTTCTTCACCTGTAGGAATGAAGGAACATGCTCCCGAGGCAGGGATATGGTGATTTAACTGCTGAGGGTGAAGTAATAGTCTTTGTGGAATCAAAACTAAGATGGATGATTATTGATTTAGGTGTTTCATTAGAAACATTAATCTTGATAAAGAAATTTTATTATTTAGAAAATAAAATGACAATAATAAGCAAAGGGTAGCACTGGAGAATTGGTTACTAATATTTTATATGTTGGGAAGGAGGAGGGAGCTCCACTGACCATCAAAGATGCTTGGTAAGTAGCTGTGCTGTTTCTACAAAGATCCAAGGCACAGACCCTTCCTGACTATTGCAAATTACAGTTGTTTAGCTATTATAGTTCACTCTAACTTCCTGTCTTCCTGCTCTCTCCCCCATAGACTCACACTAGTTCATTTAAAAGTAAACAGCATAACAACCAAATACCAGCAACAAAAGAATTCTCTACTACTACCTTCCTAGACATTCATCTTACTTGGCAATGATCACCATGACATATGTGTTGCTAAAATTATGGGCATTCTTTATCTGCTTATTTGATCTCTGGGAAGCATTTGGTTCCATTGACTTTTTTTCCATTTAACAATATTGTTCACTCTTG